GGGGCAGGCTGTTCATGGGCCTGTGAAACTAGGGGGGACACCCCCTGCAGATGGAAAATGTTTTGGTTGCTTGTGTGGGAAGCGGTTTGCAGTGAAACCAAAGCGTGACCGGCACATTATGCTGACATTCAGCCTCCGGCCCTTTGGCTGTGGGATCTGCAACAAGCGCTTCAAGCTGAAGCACCATCTGACGGAGCATATGAAGACCCATGCGGGAGCCTTGCATGCCTGTCCCCACTGCGGTCGTAGGTTCCGAGTCCATGCCTGTTTCCTTCGTCACAGGGACCTGTGCAAGGGCCAGGGCTGGGCCACTGCTCACTGGACTTACAAGTGACTGTGAGGCCATATACTAACTTCTAGGACAAGAGAGCCACTGCTGCTGATGGATACTTACCCCTCACTACCATGGCACCCCAATCATGGATCTCATAATCATGCCAGGAGGATATATCATGGACCTCTTGTTCTTGGGTATGGACCTCAACCTGGCAGATTTGGAAACTCAGAATTCTCATCTTACTGCAGGTTTTTACTAATCACATTACAGAATAGTGGTTTACAGGCCATATGTAAATTGGTCACTTGCTCATAATAGACCTTTTTATACAGGAAACCAGATTTCAGATTAGAAAATTTATTTGAAGAGAGAAGAGTTAAAACAAAAAGACATAATGATAAATGTTTCATTCAGTCTCCATGAGGAGTTAAAGGAGCTGGTCTCCATCTAGGGATATGTTTGATTTAGAGTTCTAATAATTCAGGGACTGAGCTCTAAGTTTTTCTTTCCCTTATCATTGCTGAAATGTGAGCAGAGTTCTTTTTTATGTACTTTCCTTGTTATATGTCTTTCCAGAAGCCCCTCAGATCATAACTTGCTTTTTTACCAGTAGATATCTTCCCAACACCTTTATTTGTATGTTGTAGTTGAGCACTTTAACAAATTGATATTCCATGTGTCATTACTAGAACCCTCTTTAATAGAGGGTATTCCTTCAACAACGTGTGCCTCTTGTCTACTTTTGACCACCACTGATCACTCATATATTGATCACAGTGATTGGAATGTGACCAGGGAACTCAGGAGATGGCCACTGACCTAAAATGCTCTCAAGGTAGCACCACTACTCTGAACAAGTGGCTTTGGTCAGAGACGGGTTGAGACAGCACATACTGAAGGCTAGAGAGTAACTGCATAGTGGGACCACACCCCCACCTTTCCATCCCTACTCGCACATGACAAATAAACTTTGTTTTGGAATTGAGAACTGACAGTGGACTGGACTGAGTAATTTATGTGGGAGAGACAATGTGAAACAGAGTTGCCAAGACTTGGATGTGTTTTGCAGCTGGGTTATGTTGATGGGGAAAGAATGGGATAGTTTCACACTGGTGCAGAGAAAACGATTCTAGACTTCAGTGGGCTAGATTCTAGGCCCGGACCTGCCACTGAATAACCTCTGGTAAGCTACCTTATCTTTCAGAGTCTGAACTGCTACTTTTTTTTCTTCTTTATGGGGTGGTATCTCCTAACTGGTTCTCTGTCTTTTTTTAATGTATTTTTATTGATTTCAGAGAGGAAGGGGAGGAAGAGAGAATAGAAACATCAGTGTTGATAGAAAATCATCGATCAGCTGCTTCCTGCATGCCCCCTACTGGGAATCAAGCCCGAAACCCAGGTATGTGCCCTGACAGTGAATCAAACTGGCCTCCTGGTTCATAGGTTGACCCCTGAGCCACACCAGGTGGGCCCTCTTCCTTTTTGTTTTTTTTAAAGGCCTTGGTTCACATGATCTTTACCTATAATGTTCTCCAATTTTATATATTTTGTATAATGTTGAGTTTGCTCTACAAAGAGTGCAAAGCACTGTACCAGACCCTGCTTTATACTCTGCTCTCTAGGAGTTCACAGCTACTACTGAAGCTAGACAAATAATGACAATGTAGTGTGATAAGTTCATATAGTGGACAGGACAAGTTAATGTAGTCTCACGAAGGAAACTGAACCAAGACCTATTATAGGTCAACAGAGGTTTCACAAAGAACTCCATGTGCCAGACTAGTATGGCAATGAGTGTGGATGGCTGAACTAATGTAGAAATGGTGAACATGAGTTCAAGTCACAACTTCACTTCCCTAAAGCATGTTCCTCAAAAGGGGCTAAAAAAATGTAACTTTATGGCTGAAAAGGTAAATTGTAGCTGGTATCTGTCAGCCTCTCTAAAAGAGCCATGCCATGGTACCATTAAGGACTGAACACATTGGGAAAGGGATCAAGGCATAGGCTCCAATCTTCAATCTATTGTAATCCCACCCACCTGTCATTCTTTTGGCACACATCCTGTTGGTGGCTATATCCATTGGCCAGGATCCTCAGGTTGCAAGCAATGGAAGCTGGCTCTAACTTTATCAAAACAGGAAACTGAAAGGATGTGGGGTGGCTCCTCAAATGGAAGGAAGGGATGAAGGACCAGCCTTTGGAAGGATAAGACCTGGGTCAGATCTTGAGAGTCCAGGGAACAGGAACTCCTGGAAGTCTCTTCAGGTCATATGTTTTGGGGTGGTAATGAACCAGTCATTCTTATTTCTTGTGTCCCTCAAGATTAAATTTCCCAGATGACAACTGTGAGCCTCAGATCCACCCTCTGGCCAGAGCACCTTGATCATGTGTTCCCTCAAAGTAACAGAGTGGGCATGGAATCCTCAAGGGGCAGTTGAAGTCCTGGGATAGAAGAGTAGGGGATGGTTGCTGATCAGACCACAGGAACAGAGACCCACCCCAGACCATCTCCACATGTTGCCCACTTTGGGATCCTTAAAGCCTCAGATATACCTGGCACTTAATAGGTATTCAAGATATGTGAACCTGCCTGCCCTGGCTGATTTGGCTCAATAGAGTGTTGGCCTATGGACCAAAGGGTCACAGGTTTGATTCCTGGTCAAGGGCATGTACCTCAGTTGCAGGTTTAATCTCCTGCCCCAGTTGGGCACATTCGGGAGGTAACTAATTGATGGCTCCCCTCCCCACGCCCCCCTCCACTCTCGCTTAAAATCAATGGAAAAAATATCCTCAGGTGAGGATTAAAAAAAAAAAAAGGTACGTGAACCTGCCCAATTTCCACCTCTGCCCTCTAAACTGAAGGCATAATTGTTTCCTTCCTCTCCTTAATCCCGGAGCACTTTGTTATTACTCTATAAAGCCAATTACAGTACCATGTTCGCCCTGGCTGGTGTTCCTCAGTGGTTAAGAGTGTCGGCCCCCATACTAAAGGGTTTGATTCCCTGGCCCCGG